GTCGAATTCCTCTCTAGATCGAGATCTACATCTTCGTCCTTGCTTCAAATACGACGAAGTTAAAACCTAGTGCTCAAGTTTAAAAAGTGCATTGAATCTACATACGAACTACGAATCAAGAGACCAAAAGTCTTTTAATGTCTTCGCAAGCAGCATTTGTTTATTAATTTGGTGAAACATTAACAGAATGACTAATTGTTTCGCACCTGCGCATAAAAGATTTGAATTTATTATCAATAATAATACCAAGGAATCATTTATAGCTCACCAAACGTTGATTCAGTCTGTTAAATTTGATTTTTATATTATCTTTTAACATCTAGCGTACATTTAACTTTATTTATAGTTTAATATACATTTATATATTCAGGTCATCAAAATTTTTACATTTAAAAGAAAATATTGCTTCGAAGTTAAATATTTCTTGTTTTCAGTCAATTAAATCTGAAACAATTTGTAACATTTACTATTTTTAAAGAACGACACAAAATTTAGCACACAATATGACTCACAATGAATTAACGAAAAGAAGATGCTAGCAAATTGATGAATGGTTCATAAAGACGACGGTCACCCGAAGAATAAAGGTGTTGTGATCACGCGTCTTTTAATTATGATCAGTATTCCGAGAAACCATACAGTAGACTCCCGTAAGTTCGGCCTCGGTTAGTTCGGTCTCCACTTAGTCCGAGCAAATCTACAACATCGACGAAACTGGGTAAATTTTAGACTTCTGTCCAAAAAAAACCTTTACGCCCACAAGAAACATCTGCGGCAGGATTAAAAGTCAGCCAAGAGAGAATAAGATCGCCATTTGCAAAGCAGCAAATGGACACATATTTGTTCAGGGAATGGTTTGTATGCGAATTTATTCCGAAGTGAAAAACCATTTGACAAAATTAACTCTGCCCATCAAAACACTGCTACTGCTTGATAACGCGCCTACTCACCAGGAAGGTCTTCAGTGTGACGATGGAAAAGAAATTAAACTGCTATTCCTGCCATCCAATGTAAACAGTCTTCAACAGCAAATAGACCAAGGGATTATTGAGTGCTTCAAGAGAAAACTGCTTTCTGAAGTTCTTACCAAACTGGGGGCTGATAACAACTTGGACCTCTTAAAAGTGCCGAAGTCAGCTAACACAAAGGATGTTGTGTTCATGTCGGCAAAGGCATACGATGAAACACATCAGCAGATGAGCCAAACAACATTCTTGTTAACGAACCTGATGACAAGTCAAAGAAGATGTTTTGGAGTGGATCAACTTTAAAAAGGAGTAACACAACGAGATTTTGAACGACGACGAAATCGGCGAGTGTGTCATTCACCAAGAAAATGAGAAGGATAATGACATAGATGCTGCTGAGAATGAAGAGGAAGATGAAGAAAATAAAATGAGCCACGCTGAAGGCAAAGCAGCTTTGCAACTGGCAGCTACATACGTCGAACAGCAAAAAGAAGCAACTGTCATCGATGTAATGATTATTAAAAAGTGGCGTGACTTTGTACATCAAAAATCATTAGAAAAGAAAATTCGGAAAAAATTACTGACTTTTTTAAGTGTTTAAGAAGCCAAACCACCAATGTGCAATATTTTTAAATTTTATTAGGCCTAGAGTTCTGTAAGTATTGTTTTAGAGTATTTTTGTAACAGTCTATCTTTTCATATGTGTTAAATATAATGTCAGAGTATTTCTTTGTGTTGTCTTCTTCTTAACACATTGCCTGCCACGTCACCCAAATTTGACTGACAGAATTTTTTTGCTGTAGGCCATGTCGGTCATATATGAGTGACAGCGTTGTTTCACTGGGGGCCACAGGCATTTTCTAATAAAGTTCGTGGGAGGCCACAGCAAAAAAAGAAGATAGGGAATGGTTTTTATGTCTAGATTATCATGTTTTCAGCAAAAAATTATTGCATGGTAAAAAACATTAGTTTTGTTTATTTAAAATCGTCACCCAATTGTGACTGACGTGGCCTGCCCGGAAAGTTATTTTGGTAGAGGCCATGTCATTAGCATTCACGTGACGATTTAAAGGTTAATTGTTGTGAAAATAACAGGTATTTTTATCTTAATTTACAGTTTGGCTTTGTTGAAAAAATACAATGAAGCTGCTTTATTAGAAAGTGATGAAGATGATCAATTACAATACAGTGAAAGCGATAAGGGTAGCGACAATGATAATTTTGGGTTAGATGATTCAGACGAAGATTGGCTTCCCTCTGAAGAAGAACCCGGCAATGATAGTATTGAGGCATTACTACATTATATGCAAGAGGAGGAAGAAAGAGAAGAGGCAGAAAATGAAGATAAAGAGGCTTCAGAAATAAATGTTCTAGAACCAGAAAATAAAAACGATCCTCACAGTTATAATCCCCAGTGGTCAGAATATGCAGGATGTCATAAAACTTTTTCTTTTCAAGGTAATATGAATATAAATAATTTTCTGAATATGAATATAAATAATTAAAATTTTTAGGGCCTTCTGGACTAAAAATTGACATCCCTAAAGATATAACAGCTTATGAGGCATACTGCTTGTTTGTAAATGATGAGATTATAAATAATATTGTGGAATTTACAAATAAATATGCAGCAAGGGTAATCGAGAACGATTAAAATTTCTGGGCTTCACTTTATGGATGGGTCTGGTAAAGATAGGAAATATTCAAGCTTACTGGTCTACCAAGAGTATTTATAATATTCCACTGGCCCCTAAAATAATGTCTCGAAACAGATATGAACTGTTGCTGAAATTTATACATTTTACAGATCCAGAGACACCTACTATAAGTCGGATTGATAAAATCAAATCTTTGGTTGATGCATTGAATACAAAATATCAAAATGTGTACACCCCGGGTGAGAACTTTGTTATTGATGAAACTTTGGTACCATGGAGAGGCAGATTAATTTTTCGTCAATATATTCCCAATAAAGCCCACCGATATGGGATAAAAGTATTCAAACTTTGGGCAACAAATGGATATATCTGGACTACGAGCATTTATGAAGGCAAAGCAGATACATTTGACACAAATTTACGTTTGGGTCATCATGTGTGTCTAAAATTGTCGCAGGGCCTTCTAAATCAAGGTCGTACGTTGTTTGTTGATAACTTCTACACTAGTTACCCCTTAGCTTTATCCCTCTTAAATCAAAACACGCATTTAATCGGTACTGTTAGGACCTCAAGAAAACATTTTCCAAAAGAAGTTATGATGAAAAAGCTGAAGAAAGGTGAATCTGTAAGCAGAGAAGACGAAAATGGAATAGTAATTCTCAAGTGGCGAGACACACGTGGCGTAAAATTACTGTCTACCAAACATGCTCCTGACTTGATCGATGCCTCACAAAATAAAAAGAACACAACTACATCGACACCATCAACTAGTAAACAACTTAAGAAAAAGAAGAGAAAGGAAACTAAAATAAAACCAAGTATGGTAGTAGCTTATAATCGAGGAAAATCTGGCATAGACATATCTGACCAAATGTCTTCTTACGCGACAACTTTAAGAAAAGGGGTAAAGTGGTTCAGGAAGCTGGCCATGGAATATCTTCTCGGCATTAGTGTTGTCAATGCTTACCTGGTAATGAAAATGGTTTCAAAGAAAAAGAAGATGCAAATACGAAAGTTCAGAGAACAACTGGTTCAGCAAATGTTAGACATAGAACCAAGAGAAGAACCTATAAAAAAAAACAGGACATGCATTGACCAAAGACAAAAAAATTCGTCGTATTTGCAAGCCTTGTTACAGACATTTGATTGGTTCTCTAGGAAGATCAGAAGCCAGAAAGAAAGTGAAAAAAGTAATGACTTATTGCTGTGGTTGTCCTGATCAACCTTATATGTGCATGGACTGCTTTAAAAATATTCATACGTAATAAATTTATATTTTCCTGTTTTTGTTTCACTTTTGTATGGCAAAAATAAAAACTATTTTTTTCTTTTAATTTTTCATTATTTTTTCTTGGTGCGCAACCAATGTTTTAATGAAGTATTACTGGACGCCACAACAACAAAATTGTATATAAAAATCCATATACCCTCACGTAATTTTGAGTTATAGAAGGGCATTCGAAAGCTATCCTGTCAGTCATATATGACCGACATGGCCTCACCGTAACAATTTCCGTCGGTCATATCTGTCTGACATGGCCTCCAGGAATTGAACAATTTTTTTGGTGTGGCGCCCCATGAAACTTTTTGAGAAAGGCGTGTGGCAGGCAATGTGTTAATGTACAAGTGCTTTGTTTTTGCTAGATCCATACAAACAATAAATGGGCATTTTTTTAGATAAGCATAGGTTAGGTTAGCACTTTTAAATTCAGCCTAGGGTCGGGTCACAAGGTGGCTAAATTTACGGGGGTCTACTGTATATGGCTTAGATACAGCATTACAGCAAAATATCATCAAATATCAAGTTATATTGTAAATATTAGCAATGATTACAGGCCCAAATGGGCACAAAGTGTCCAATTAGATGCTGTATATTCCAAAAACTTCTCTAAAAAACTAGAAAAGATCCCATTTCAATTCTTTGTGAGTCACGTTGAGAAAAATCATAGATACATACGAACGGTTGATTTAGTTGCCAAAACTACCCTTCTCTGTAACAATAAATCTATCCATAAATCGAAAAAATACGTATATAATAAACAGAATATAACCTATCGTTAACATTGTTACTTAACAAGAAAAAATTAATGAGAATAAAATGCAGAACAATTTCGGAGATTGAGTATTCGAAAGCGACAAAAAGTAAAACGATGATAGATTCTAAAAAGAGATAACAATTTGAAAATAAATTAACAAAATTCTTTCTTCGATGTTAAAAATAAACTTTCAACATAAAAAACCTATAAAAATATATCATGAAGTAAGGCACTTGTTCATTATACAAGGCGTGTCAAAAATACACGCCGATAATATGAATATCGCTAAAGTTAATTTGAAAAAATTACCCCTTCGTTATTGCTATTGTAAGGGGGTTTTAGAGTGGTCTCGTGAAGTTAGCAGGGAACATACCCTTCTCGCCGTTATCTTTTACGCCCATCAGCCATCCCTCTTCCTGTAAAATAAAAATTCGTCATTATAATGTTTTCGCTTTAATTTACTACGATTTTTTTATAAATTGTTTTTATTTTTCATTGAGTATAGCTTTTCGCCCTTGCAGAATCAACAAACATATGGTGGGTTAGTACGTTGTGGACATTACTCGTGCTTCGAGCGGTGTTTAAAATTTTAAATAATTCATCATCATCACTGGCTCGACAACCCTTTCTGTGTCTTGGCCTGTTCAAGGATTCTTCTCCATTCTGACCTGTTTCGTGCTTTTTTTTCCAGTTTTTAATTTTTAATGTTGTTATATCATTTTCTATTTGTTCTACGTATCTCAGCTTCGGTCTTCCTCTTGTTCTTTTTCCTACTGGCACTTGTTTGAATATTTTGTTTGGTATTTCGCCTTCTTCCATTCTTTCCACATGTCCAATCCAACGTAGCCTTCCTATTTTAATGAATGTTATGATATCCGGATCCTGGTATATGTTGTATAGTTCAAAGTTATACCTTCTCCGCCAAATCCCGTTTTCCTTTGTGCCCTTATATATGTGTCGCAAGATTTTTCTTTCAAGGTGGCCAATAACGTTTCCTCCCTTTTAGAGAGTGTCCAGGTTTCTGAACCGTATGTGAGTACCGGTCTTATTAAGGTTTTGTATATTTGGCATTTTGTTTTTCTGGAGACGTTATCTGATCTTAGTTGCCTAATTAAGCCATGGTAACATTTATTGGCAATAAATATTCTCCTCTTCACTTCCTCTGCAACGTTGTTATCAGACGTAACTAGGGATCCTAAGTATGTAAAGTTTTTTACCGCCTCAATGTTGTATTCTCCTATTGTTAAATTTGGCAGCTGCTTTATTTGTGCGTTTTTATTTGCAGGCATATATTTTGTTTTTGTCTGATTGATTTTAAGACCACTATTTTTTGCAGCTCGTTCTATTTGAGTGAATGCCTCTATCATTTCTCTTCTTGATCTTGCGATTATGTCAACATCATCTGCAAATGCTAGTACTTGCACGCTTTTATTAATTATTGTTCCTCGGGTATTAACTGTTGTGTCTCTTATTATTTTTTCAAGTATGATGTTGAATAATATGCATGATAGAGCGTCTCCCTGGCGTAGTCCCTTCTTCACATCTATTGTTTCCGTTAATTCGTTTTGTATCCGGATTTTACTTTCTACTTTTAGTGTTTCTTTTATCAATTCTATTAGCTGTGTTGGTATATTAAATTCTTTCATTGCTTTTGTTAGGAATTCTCGGTTTATATTGTCATATGCGCTTTCGAAGTCTATGAAGAGATGATGTGTGTCGATGTTATATTCACTTGTTTTTTCAAGGATCTGTCGCAGAACAAATATCTGGTCTATTGTTGACTTCTGTCTACAGAAGCCACATTGGTATTTGCCAACTATTTTTTCAGCATATGGTCTAAGTCTTTCATACATTACGTTGGACATTATTTTGTATGCCGCATTCAACAGCGTGATTCCACGGTAGTTTTCACATTCTAACTGGTTTCCTTTTTTATGTAGTGGTACAATAATGCCGCTATTCCACTCCTTTGGTAGCTGTTTATTCAACCATATCTTTCTTATCAGCTCATGTGTGGCTTTAAGTAATGCGTCTCCTCCTTCTTTCAGTAGCTCCGATGATATTTGATCCGATCCCGGTGATTTATTGTTCTTTAATTTGTCCACTGCTGTTCTAATCTCTGCTATTGTTGGTGGACTCTTTTCTCTGTTGTCTGCTTGGTCTAATGGTATATCAGGGTTCATCTCCGTCCTATTCACCCCAAGCTTTTCCTTAAAATGTTCTGTCCATCTTCTAAGTATCTCTTGCTGTTCTGTCAATATATTACCCTCCTTATCTTTACACATCGTTGTTCTCGGTTTGAACTCTTTTCTGCTTTTGTTGAGTTTCTGGTAAAATTTTCTTGTCTCTGTTGGTTTACTTAATTCTTGTAGTTCTTGAAGTTCTTTGTTGATATATTCTCTCTTCTTTCTTCGGTGAATTTTCTTTTCTTCTTTACGTAGTTGTTTATATTCTTCCTCTGCTTGTCGGGTTCTGTGCCTCTGTTGCATCTGTAGATATGCTCTGTTTTTTCTTTCTGTTATAGTTTGACATTCTTCGTCAAACCAGTGATTCGTTCTTGTTCTTCTTTCTTTACCTTCCATGCCCAACACCTCTTTAGCTGTTTCTTTTATGATTTCTCTGCACTCTTCCCACTCCTCATTATTTTAAATAATTGTTATTTTAAAATGTTAGCGTAATGTCAACAAGTACTAACCCGCCGTGTGCTTGTTGATTATGCAAGTGCAAAAAGCAATATGTTCAAATGGGTTCAAACTTTCTACTTATGTGCAGTTGTTAAATAAATATGCAGCATGTAAAAAGTTATGCGGACTTAAAATTAGGTTAACTTTAGGTTAAGGTTAGGTTAGTTAGGTAGGTTAGGTTAGTTTTAACTTATATTTTAAATAAATTTTAAACTATAAATTTTTTAACAAAAAGAGAAATCATACGACTTTCTACCTGGCGAAATCGAATTCAAATATAAGCCACCGTGCTTCCTAAAACTTGCGAAGCGAACAGCTTGATGAATAAATCGGCAAGGGAATCTAAAATTGCACTCCAAATGCCGTTCATCATATGAATATTGGCCATGAAGAGAAAGCATCTTCGCTTTCTCTTCAATGGCACTACAGATCAAAGTGAGCACTAGCTCCCTACAGCACTGCTTGGAACACCTGCATGCGGTACCTATTAATGGTTGCAGGTTTTTAACACAGGTGGCGGAATACTGGAGTTCGCACACGTAGACTGACATAACACATTCAAACAGGAAAAACCATAGATGAAAAATTAGTTTCGGAAACTTAAGGGTAACTTTCCTTCCAAACTTTTAGATTAGACTCTGGTTTAAGACAAGGATCTATTGTATCATATTGTCAAATGTGATGCGTTTTAAATTAAGTTGTAATTATAAGTAACCATAGTTCTGTACCGGATATAGCTAACATGTCGATGAATGCCTTCTCTACTTTGTTGTTACAGTTGGCAATATGCTTAATATCAAAATATTAACCTGATATTTGTAAAGTGCCTCGTGTCTGTAGTGGTATATTTGTTTATAATATGCACTAGCACCGCTAACTTTAAACGTAGTGTCCGGGTAGTGTCAATACACGGCCTTTGGGATGTAGTGGGTTTTATTAAACAAGCAATACTTTGCAGCCATTGAAGGTATGCCAATTAGACGAATGAGCCTCCAGTTACCTTCAACTAACCTTCTTAGAATATGTTTCGTTTTGTTGGTATCTTCGCGTACTTCTATGCCACATGTCATGATCGGTCGTGTGCAAGTCTTGTAGATTCTAATTTTACTTCTTCTTCTTACGGTGCCTTATCCTTAAGGACGTTGGCCATTACATTTGCCCATTTAATTTTACTTGTAGCAGCCCTGAACAGTTCTATGGAGGTCATGTTCGTCCATTGCCGTAGGTTTTTAAGCCAGGAGTTGCGTCTTCTTCCTGGTCCTCTTTTGCTATTGACTTTGCCTTCGATTATAATTTGGAGCAGTTCATACTTTTGATTTCTTATGATGTGGCCAAAATATTGTGTTTTCCGTTCTTTTATTATAAGCATAAGCTCTCTTTCCTTATTCATCCTCCGCAAGAATTCCGCATTTGTCGTATGGCTCATGTAGGATATTCTGAGTATTTTACGGTAACACCAGAGTTCGAATGCTTGGATTCTTTTTGTGTTGCTTCTGTCATTGTCCAGGCTTCAACACCATAGAGCAAAGTGGAAAAAAACATAGCACTTAAGTATTCTAGTTCTCAATGAGATGCCCAGCTGGCGGTTGCATGGAACTTTTTGCATTTTGTAAAACATTGTACGTGCCTTTTCCAGGCGTATTCTTATCTCTAGTGAGTGGTCCCAAGTTTCATTAAGATTACTTCCAAGGTACGTTGTTCTTGTTACTCTTTCCAGATCTGTTCAGTCTACATTGGCCTTCACCCTTCTGTTTTGGTGCTTGCTGATGACCATCGTTTTTGTCTTCTTTGTATTCAATTTCATTCCAAATTCTCTAGAGGCTGTCGTTACTCGGTCCATTAAGCGTTGCAGGGCTTCAGCATTATCTGCCAGTATGAGAGTGTCATCAGCATATCGCAGGTTATTTATACATTGCCCGTTTATAATTATACCATCCGAGGTGCCTTCCAAAGCTTTCTGAAATATCTTCTCAGAGTAAACATTGAACAGCAAAGGTGATAGGACACATCACTGTCTTACTCCCTTCTCGATATTAATTTTTCCAGATGTTTCGCTTTTTATTCTGATTTTAGCCTTTTGTTCTTAGTAGAGGTTTGAAATGATCCTTAAGTCTTTATCGTCGATATTACATGACCTTAAAATATCTATTAGTTTATCATGTTTCACCAGGTCAAACGCCTTCTGAAAGTCTATAAAACACAAGTATACATCAGAATCGACATCTCTACATCTTTCAATTAGCACACGTATTGAAAAAAGTGCTTCCCTTGTTCCGAACCCATTCTTAAAACCTAACTGAGTTTGACCAGTGTGTTCGTCTAGATTATTGTATACTCTATTGTGTATTACTCGTAAGAAAAGCTTCAACATATGATTCATCAGGCTAATAATCCTATGGTCTTCACATTTCTTGGAGTTTCTCTTCTTTGGTAGTGGTATAAACATAGATGTCAGCCAATAATTTAGTATTATGCCTGTTTCGTATATTTTGTTAAATATATCTTCCATTACTTCGATGTGTTCGTCTAGTAATATCTTTATCATTTCAATTGGGATATTATCTTCCCCAATAACTTTTCCGTTCTTTAACTGATTTGCCGCTTTGATAATTTCTTGCTTTGTGATATAAGGTCCAGTCGATGCCTCCTGCATGTAAATGTTCGTCCTCTCTCGGTCTTGATACATCTCTTCCACGTATTCTCCCCATCTACCTATTTGATCTTCTATTTTCAGTAGCGGGTTCCCATGTTTATCTTCTATGAAAGACGTAGGAGTTTGTTTAAATATTCCAGCGGCTTCTTTTACTTTTTTATGTAGATTGAAAGTATCATGTCTTGTTCCAACTCTTCAATTTCTTGGCATCTTTCACTAAGCCAGGTTTCTTTGGCTTGTTGGATCTTTATTCTGATATTCTTGTGTATTTGCTTGTATGTTGTTTCATTTTTACCTCTGTATTTTCTTCTTTCTCCATCATGTTTAGAATTTCTTCTGTCATCCATGGTTTGTTCTTTTTTCGTGTATCTTGTTTGAGGTAGTCTTCTGTTACTCTTGTAAGTGTTTTCTCAATATAGTGCCAGTTTTCCTCGGGAGTTTGTGTCGATTGTACTGTTCTGTTACTCAAGTGTCTATGTATTTCTTCCCGTATTTTATTATTAGTGGATTCTTCTTTAAGCTTATCTAGGTTGATAGCTATTATTTGCTTATTTCTTTTTTCTTTTTGTTCTTTTAAATTCCATCCTACTAATTTTACTATCTGTGCACATATACGGATTTGACCAGACTATCTCCCGCAGACATCCTGACAATGCGGATGCTTTGTTGATCTGACCCTTTAGGTCCTTTACTGGGTCATGCGTGCTTGATATATCTATGCCCAGATATCTGAATTGCATCACCTGTTCTATGGGGTTGTTCTCAACCACTAACTTACATCTGAACGGATCTTTTGCTATTGTCATACATTTAGTTTTGTTGGTAGAAATGGTTATATTTAGTTGGCGGCTTATTTGAAAGAACTAAAGAGCTGTCATCTAACCTTATAGAAGAAATAAGTATACAGTCCACTAGCTATCAAAGAAGCTAAAGATCCAGGAGGTGATTCTCTTCCTGATCCTAAACACAATCACCCTGCCCTATCTTATATAACCATGCTATATAAATGAATAGTATATTATAAGGAAAAGGAAAGTCTTTCAAGGCAAACTCAATCACGAACTGTAAATGTTCGAAAATGAAAAAAATTCGAATTAACTAAGTACACTACACTGTAACACATCAAATATGCCGTACAATACGGTTTTGTGTATTAAGATAGATTGAGGTATATGCATATCTAACAAATTTATGCAGATTATTGTGTAGCCTTACCTGTTCTTCAGGATCATCATATTCAATGACGGATATTACTTCCCCTACTTCGAAAGAAAGCTCATCCACGTCCTCTCGGTTGTATTTGTACGTCGCCTTCACTCTGTATAGTACTCCAGGTGGCAGATTGTCGGTGCTGGCACCTTCGAAAGTAAATACTTTAAAGTTAGTTAGAAAGTACGAAAATATACTACAGGCAAGTTCTTTTAAAAGAAATTCTTATTGCATTAGAGAGCATGAGAGCACCTCATCCTCCGTTCGATAGAGGTCGCTACAAGTAAATTATTTAGAATAAAAATTAAAATTAAAAAACCGCCATCTAGCAGAGGGTTATGAACTAGTGTCGTAGAACCGGCATAGGAACACTACTGAGAAACGTATTTTACGAAATTTCACAGCAAACCTTTGTACAGTATTGGTCGATCCTTTTCTTAATTATTAAGAAAAAATTGTTATTTAAGGTCAAAGAAAAGAAAATATTTCAAAATTTTGTAAAAGAACGTATTCCTGATCTATTTTTATATTATACTCACATCATTAGATGCTTATATGCAGTTTTCTTCTTTATTAAACACCAAAATACAAAGTATTTTGCAGTGATCATAATAATTTGATCACCCACTGTAACTTAATCTATTTGAAAAACAATCTGTTGAAAATTTCTTTCTCTAAACCTATAAATACTGAATCACCATAAGTTTGTATTATCACCCCTATGAGAATAAAATATTATTCAGTAAATCAGTAAAAAAAATTGGGACATCCTGTCTACATTAACTGGGACACAGGCTCAAATATTAGTTCTAAAGATAATTGGCAGGATGCCATTTCAACAAATTCGACAGATCTTTCATATATCGAAAGACTAACTCAAAGTGGACTTCACCTAGATCGAGTATCGCATTGAATAATTTAATACGTTCAGCATTCATAACTAGCCCAATTGCCAGAAATTTAAGTTTCTATGGATAGTTTGGCAAGAAAATTAATTGAGTTAGAATTTAATTTGAATAAAGTTGCTTCGTTTTGCCAAAACTTTTTTGCCGCCAGAAACTAAAACAAAGAGTCATAAATATTGTAGTTGTGCTTGCCAAATGGGATACAGAGGTTATTACATAGTTACTACAGTTCAAAATGACTATATATCTTTAAAAATTATATAATCAGATCGCACAAATGGAAGTTTGTTAATTTGTAAATGTTAACTTAACAACCTAAACAACCGGCCAGTATTGAAGTCAAATGGAATTGTATTAAAAACGCTATCGTAACCACCACCAAGGCTCTGATCGCTTTCCAAAAGTACAAAAAGAAGAATTGGATGACTGACAAAATATTATCAATGATGGACGACCGCAGATCATTTAAAAACAAAGACCGAACCAAACATCAGCAGATTAACCGACAAATGCGAAAAGAGTGTCGCAAAGCTAAAGAACAGTGATTGCTAGACAGGTGTGCAGAAATGAAGGAATTAAAAGAAAATCATGACCACTTTAACATACATAAACTCGTTAAAGAAGTGACAGGTCATACAAAAACTTGCAGTTTTAACAGTATTGTGAAGGACAATAAATTAATTACTGATCCCAAGGATCTACTTCAACAATCTCTAGTACTCAACTGGTTCGTTTTTGATATTTTCCTACAATATTTCCTTGAATTTTGCCCACTCCTTACTTCTGCTTTTGGATATGGCTGCTCTAATGTATTGGTCATGTTTATGGATAAACTCTTCATAACCCGGTGTAATATATTGAACAACCATGGTACATCGACAGGTAAAAGGTACCAGTTGTGTCATGGCTTTGGAAACTGAGACTCTTATTATACTGCAATTTGAAATCAGCAAAATTTTAAACAACTTATTGTAAAACCAAGCACCGCTAAGAGAATAATTATTATAAAACAACAGGTTATACCTTTCAATGCGAAACTCGCAATGATGTAAGAGGGGCAACATGTAACAAGGGAATACCAGAATTGCAAAGGTTCACTTTGCAATTCTGGATGTGAATAGTTAATATTTAATTATAATAGATATTTTGGATCAACAACAAACCAAACAACTTTAAAATTACATAAAAATACTTAGCATAAAAAGAGACCATACTGTACTCGTATAAATTTGAAACAGTCGGACGATACTTTCAAAAATTTTATAGAATTATGTTCGCAGCTGAACATACCATATTTGCTCACTCCTTGTGTGAGTTTTTTTTTGTCATATTTAAAGGAAAGTTTGTGCCCCATTATGAAAGATTATACAGTTAATAATGATAGTGTAAAACTATTGACAAACACTTCATTAATTAATAAACTATAACATATTACAATATACTTCAACAGCATAACAGTACATAGCACTTCAATGACAAGATGCAGACGTATGCACACTATATTTTATTTTGTAACTCCTAAAGTAGCTCTTGAATCTAAAAATTCTATATAATTAATTTTCCGATTGTACACACTTCAGTTCTATAGAAAATGTCACACCGAGAGTGCAGTACGGCTAATACAGGAATGCACAATTGTCGGATTTCACGCCTTGTGCTTGGCGATACAAACAGGTCCAAGTGGTAGTCACAGAACCGTACCCAGATCTCTACGCCGGGCTCTGTTATTTATTATAAAATAATATATTGATAAAATAATTGCCTTCAAGTAGCTAAATAACAGGCATGAATTTGAATAAAAAGACCTTAAGTTTTTAGCGAGAATTTTATTAAAAAACTGTATACTTTATTAAACTAACAAATGTATTTTAAATTACATTTCTTGATAGCTATAAATATACCGGGTGGAACATCCGGTAACTCGATTTCCGTGCAACCAGCCCAATATCCAAGAAAAACTTTTTCTTTTGTAAATATGTGAAAAATTATCAGGAACGGGAATATCGAAAAAGCTTTGCACATTTTTTAATCCTCGGCGGTGCTATTAAAAAAAACAAGTAGCGCACTTGAATCACTGCGAAATTTAACACCTACTATGAAATTTTTTTTGTGGAAATCTGAAGTGCAGTTTTTGTCCTTGTTAAAACATAATGCAGTCTCGCATTTTTTTACACACAACATAAGTTTACCTAGTTCCTTGGCATAGCAACCTGGTAGTTTTCAGCGAAACCTTGTGTTTTTCAATATGGGATAATGGTTTTCCTCGCCAACACTTGACCAGATGAGCAGGTATAAGGTTTATAATGTAAGTTATTTAACATTATATTATATTTATACTTTATTAAACTAACAAATATATTTTAAATTACATTTCTTGATAGCTATAAATATATAGGGTGGAACCTCCGGGAACTCGATTTCCGTGCACCCAGCCCAATATCCGAAAAGCCCATACTCTGATTGACTGGTAAATGCATTTTATTGGTTATACAGTGTAAAATAATCGAGGTTACTCACAGATATTCAATTAATTATACTAAAGTCGTCCTCTACATCCGAGATGTCGGATTCGCTTTCGCTACTCTCCCCTGTGTTCGCGTGTATTATCAATTGGTCTACGTCATCTTGCAGGTTGTCCGCAGTCCACATATCAGTTTCCGTTTTCTCAACAACATGAGTGACATAATTGCGCCAATTTTGCTCTGTGACGCGTGCGAAACCGTCGTCATCGACCTCGTCAAACGTGGTATTATGGGTACCTACATATCGCTTAACTTGGTTCCACACCATTTCTATAGGATTCAATTCGCAGTGATATGGAGGAAGCCTTAAAATACAAACATTATGTTGTGAAGATACTCATCAAGATGATACTTATCGTATTGATCTTTAAAAGCACGCGCTGCTTCTAGTTGCTCGGATTTCAAATAACACTCCTCGAAAAAAATGTCTTTTTCCACTAGCCATTCCTTGATTGCAGCTTTATTCCAGGAATTGTTAGGGAATCTCTCTTTACGGGAGTGGTACGATGCATTGTCCATTACAATGACATTCCTGCGACCATTATTTGGTAAATTTGATATTCATGTCTCCTTAAACCACAACTCAAAATATGCGGCATCCATTTCATCATGATAGTCGCCATCATTTTTCTTTGCCAGAAAAACACGCTGTGTGCCAGGAAGAAAACCTCCTGAAAAACCTGCATGCAATAAAACATATCGTGGACCTCGTTTAGTAGGTGCTTTTAAGCCAGTACTTAACCTTTGAGAAAAGCATCACGACTGTTTTGTATCGTAGTATCGCACCATTCGTAATTTATAGATTGGCCAACATTAACCCACGATTCGTCCAAATATATGATATTGCAATGGTCTTTTCGCAAACGTCGTATAGTTCTCAAATAATTATGGCGCCAATGAATAATATCCTCTCGCTCCACCATGATGCTTCTTCGGCCACGTTTCTTATAAACAAATCCAATATCTTTCAGAAGTCTGTATAAAGTAGAAAGAGACAACGGCTGTATATTCTCATTACCTTTTATGAAGTTATGTATGCTTTAAGAATGGCGGCAAATTTTTCATGAAAAATTCACAATGAACAATTCTCCGTAGAATACTTCTTACACCCTCGTCATATGTGAATATTCTAGAATTTGATTGACACACTGCGTTTTTTACGTTTTTTTTTGGCGATTTCAACGTTCCACTCTGTTCTTTTTCTTTTTTGAAATTGTAAATGCTTCTTTCACTAACACCAGTCATCAACGAAGTACGTCTTACAGCAGCACTTACATTAAGTTGTTCCGTATTTTGTAAAAAACACAACACATTTAACACTACGAGTTTAGCGCAACCGTTAAATAATTCACCGGATTTAAACTTATGGGACTCCATGCTCTCTGTTGAAACTCGGACTAAATTTTGAAGTGTAGTTTCGTTTTCCAAAAGCACTTTCACCCCTACCCATCCTAAGGAGTAGGGGAAATAGGGAAAGCTTGGAGTTTATCAAATACTAATTATGACAAACAAGTTTATGGCCATATTTAGGTAATTATGTTAATGATGGTAATTTGTAGCAGAAGTTTTACAAAAGAAATGAAGACCTATTTATAGAAACAACATAACTGTATTTTTAATATTTTACATACAAAGAAAAAATCTAATTTCTATGAAAGAATTGGAAATTTGAATATTATATATAATATCAATAAATAATATATCATTTCCAAGTTTCCAAATTCTTTCCTAGAAATTATGTAGGTTTTTTCTATTTTATGTAAAACATTAAAACTACAGTTATTGTATGTTGTTCTTGTAAAGAGGTGTTCAAATGTTACTCTTATGAATATGATTCAATTGTATATCTCATGTTGACGTTTTATATGCAAAATTCATAGTTTTCGTTGTCAATAACTCATCAATTCCTTTTTATTCTACTGTATACGTATACATGATATAAAATATTTTACTCGTACTGCCGGCAGATGCATTTTATCCAAGCCGGTCCTGTGAGACAATGAGCAATCAACAGCTGGAGAAAACCGACAACCCTGCGCGTTTATTCTCCATAAGAAAAGCATTGCCGTATCTTACCCGTACTGCACTCTCAGTGTGACATTTTCTATAGACAAAGCTACTTTATGAGAGCTGCACTCCGTTAAAACCTGTAAAAAAACACTATACTACACAATGATACAACACCATGCCATTAATAAATTAGTAAAATGACGTACTCACCTACAGGTATATCATAAAGCTCTTCGACTTTTTTATTGTTTGCATTGTTGTTGTTAGTAGCGGAGTTGTCATTGGTAGCAGCCGGCTGGGGCTTGGGAGAGGGGGATCGGTTACCGTCCGGCGTAGTCGTACCGTTTACTTCCGGTTTCGGTGGGGGTGCGGATGTTGCGGGAAGTGGAGGGGTTTGTTCGTGAGTTGGCGTGACTTGTTCTGGCGTTTCTTCGTGTTTAGTGGGTGTGGTGGGAGTGGAGTCTAGTTTAGGGGAGGATTTCTTTGTGGGGGATTCAGCGGGTTCTTCGGCTGCAAAAACACACACGTGTTGTTAGGACACGGCACACAGTTTTATGTTGTTTTTGGTTAAAACAATTAAGTGGACGTAGATAGCATCTGACAACTTATAAATATAGATTTTGGTTTAACATCTCTTCATAAATTTAAGAAAGCACCTTCATTAAAACAACTAAAATTGACTTAATGAGGCAAAAGGGTTTGTTTTATAATTAAAGTTTTAGTGATACAGAACCATCAAAGGAGTAGTAAACTTTTCGGCAGGTCAATTTGAATAAAAGACAGCAAATAGTCTGAACTGAAGAAAGGTAAGATGATTATTAGTCAAGGGAAATTATTAAAAAGACTGTCGAGGAAATTGGAATTTTACAGATACCTAGCAAGTTGTTTAGTTAATATTTACCCGAAGAAAAACATTTTATATTTGTTTAATTTCTGTTTTGAGAACAATTTTTGAGGTGGAGACAAGGACAATAAAGGATCTGGCAAATCTGCCATATGGTGAGAGAGCAGTAATACGCCATTACCTCGAGTTATGTAGGGGATGATACAAGTAATAAGAAACTCTGTCTGAGAAACCTAGGAGAATGGTTTATTTGCAGCTTCTTAGAAACCCTAGAGATGTGTCCAATATGGCTGAGATAGTGACAAAGATTTCCAACCTCTGATAAAAGAAGGAAAAACAGTTCGAACATTCTCAGAAAATGGTCTTCATTATCTTGTTGATATTATTTGGGGATGACATACAGCCATCCTCAATAGAAGTTTTAGTGGTTTATACGTACAAGTGTGAATGTAAAGTGTTCAATATTCAAGCAAGTGCCATGCATTTTCGTTCACTAGTAATATCATTCCTTCTAGAATATTTTCGTTAGATATATTTGAATTTGTATAATAAAAAGGTATTAATAACGCTGCTATGTTGTCAAAAAACTACGCAATACAAAAAAAATTATGTTGAATAGCATAATGTATGAATATATGATACTTTTTTGTCAAAGTATGATGCCGAAGATTATTGTGCTAAGCACGTTTATTCCTCTCCAATTTTTGCACTGTGTGAGGTTACCATTTTTTGGAAGCTTAATAATGTAAAGAAATAATTAACGAGATTTAAAAGAAGCTTAGCTACATTTTTCCTTTTAGTTTGTGAACGTGAAATGGTATAACTTTAGTTGTGACATTTCCTAAACTGTAATTGAAACAAAATGTCTGTTTTAAATTTAAAGAATGTATCTTTTTCTTCATGTACCATGGTTACCATCATAGCTATCTTAATTGTATTCACTGCCACCCTAAATAGCATGCTTGTATCAACACCATACCAATCTCTACCAAGTTCTTCAGCCATGAGGTTCTTCTTCGTCCTGGACTGCGTTTGCCTGCTATTTTTCCTTGCATGATATTTTGTAGCAACCTATATTTGGGACCTCTCATTACATGTCCGAAATATTCCAGCTTTCTCTGCTTGATGCTTTTTATGATCTCAGTAGTCTTGCTGAGACGTTCTAGTATTGTGGAGTTTCGAATCTTCTCCACCCAGGAAACTTTTAAAATTCTTCTATAGCACCACATTTCGAAAGACTCAAGGCGATTTAGATCGATTTTATTAACAGTCCAGGACTCGACAGCATAAAGTAAGACCGAGAACACGTGCAGAGAGTAGGCGGATCCTTAATGCAGTTTTAGGTCTCTGTTACATAACACCTTGGACATCCTTCTAAAAGCAGCTCTAGCCTGCTCTATCCTGGATGTAATTTCGCGTGACTTTCTGCGTTACAATTTAATTGCTGTCCAAGGTAAACGATTTTATCAACTTGCTCAAGTTTGGTATTATTTAAATATATAGACGGTTTTATCTGCTGTTGTTTACTTATTACGAGTATTTTGGTTTTCCTTGTGTTAAGATTCAGACTTGCCTCCCTACAACTCTCAACGACACTATCAAGTAGTGTTTGCAGATCTTCTTGACTAGAAGCTAGGAGTACTGTATCGTCCGCATATTGCAAGTTATTGATGACTTCGCCGTTCCCAAGTATTCCTTCTTGTTTTTCAGAAAGTGCTTTTCTGAAAATTCTTTCGGAGTAAACGTTAAAAAGCAGGGGGTGACAAGTGCATCTCTGCCGTACTCCTCTTTTAATATTGAGAGTCTGTGATTCCACACCATCTACTAAAACATGTGATTCCAATATAAATTTGCAATTATTCGAACATCTCTGCCGTCCAAGCCAATGTCTTTTAGATCAATATAGAGTGCTTAACACGATCAAATGCCTTTTGAAAGTCAATAAAACAACAGTACATGGCTACAGATATATCACGACATCTTTGAGCAAGTACGTTGATTCCAAACAGTGGAACAAAAAAAAAACAGATTGTCATCAAACAAGAAAGTGAGAGTAGCTGGAGTGAAGAACCTTCTTCTGGATATCAATTCAGAGATCGAATCCAGACAGTACAACAGTACTCCAGCAGGTGTATTGACATTCAGAGAGATATTGAATCATACAACGTATTTGACACCATAAAATAATGTTTTTCGTATCGAACGACAAAACTTGCCTAACGCTTATTTTTATATTTATTTCTAATAAGATGTTGATCGACGCTTTCTGAAATAAAATTGAACATAGTCGACTTACTGCAGCCGATTTTTCGTGTTTTATATGAGGCTAATGCGAGAATGTCCATTATTTCCTTTCTTGTCGTCTGATTATTTTGAACTATCGTTTAATAGAAAGGAATCCGACGGCCGAATTGTTTTTATACTCGTGATTCAACATTTTATTTAATTGTCTTCCAGTTTGTCACTTAGTTTAGATTTAGGTCACATCTTTTTTTCTACTTGTTTGGGGATCGTAGAGAAGAGCACAGTAACAAAACTCTGTTATAATACGTCACACTTATCTTCTTAATGATTAAATTTCTGTAGTAATAGATATAATAGTAAAACTGCAAGTATTAAAAGCTTCAAAATAACATCGCAGCGTTAGATAATACTTTTTTTAGAATATGGGTAAGTATACATTATTATTTATCAATGTCATGAAGTTTGCAAACGTGTCAAATGCTACCAATGTCATGTGATGGTTGTTTGAATTACAGTTCATAAAATTACATTTGATTTAAAAATAAAACAAAATACGCTAACTATATAAACTAATACCAGTAAATTAAAAATTGTCATAAATAACTTTTTTTTCAACCTCTTAAATAGTTACTAATATTAATAACTATATTTATAACCCTTGGAAATACTACAAACAGAACTGACAGCAACAGATATTTCCGATTAAAATTATGCACAATAAGGTAATAATAAAAAGGTTACCAATGTGAGTCCATAGCACGTTATTAAAAGACAACTACCTAGTCACAATCCAAAATATTTGTTTGGTTTTAATAGAACTGCTCGAAGTATTTAATATTATAATGTGAGTATTCACATACTCACTATCACTCTTAATATAATTCACACACGTACGAGCCCAAACTCTGAGGAAATTCTTGGCGGATGTCAAAATGGAGTCACGTGGACGATCAACAGTAGGTCAGATTTTCGTATTAAGGCAAGTGAAAAAATCCAGAGAATTTGATATGGACACAATTCACCTGTTTGTGGATTTCAAAGCAGCATTTGATAGCGTTATACGAAGGACGGTATAAGAAGCAATGAAACACTTCGGACTTATTGTCAAACTGATAAGATTGGTAACAATAAGAATGTCAAAAGTCACATTAAATATAGAGGACTGAGACAGGGAAATGTTATTCAGTACACACTTAAACAAAATAGTAGATTTCAGTATTTCATCCATGATCAGGTTGAAAAATAGGACTCAGGGAATCCCCTGACTTATCTCATTGCCAGTTTCAATTGGGTCAGTTAATTCTTCTTCTAGTTTTACTTTTATTGTGTTGTCCTGGTAGATATTTTCGATGGTTCTGATTATTCCTAGAGGTATCTATCTTGCGTACAATAAGTGGATTGAACCTGACTTTAAATTGACCCTGTCAAACGTCTTCTTAAGGTCCACGAAATATAAATATGTCGGTTTGTTGTATTCTAATGATTTATGATGATCTTCCCGCCCTAAAACCTTGTTCTTCTTCTGGCCCTCCGTACTTTAAGAGTTCATTCGGTATTCTGTCTTCTCCTGGCGATTTTCTATTTTTTTATTTCCTCAATGCTTTCTTTACCTCTTCCTTCTCAATATTTATTTCTTCGTTTGTCGTCACCTCTGGTGTTGGTGGTTCAATATCGTCACCTTTAGCAAATAGGGATCGAAAATAGTGTACCCATGTTTCCTTCTGAATGAGTTTCGTTTTTATTAGTTGGTTTATCTCTTTTCTTTGTCCTGTGACCATTTTCCATATTTCTTTCTGTTTTCCATCTGTTTTGAGAAACTCTGCCAGTGTTCCCCTTGTCTTTGTCTGCCTAAAATTTCCGTTTCATTTCTTATACGCTTATATCTAGTGATCGTATGCTTGTTGTGTTCTGTATTGTGAAAAGGCTTTCTGCTTTTCTTCACATTTTGTCTTCACTTCCTCTCTAAACCATGAGCCTTTCTTTTTTGATATGCTATAGTGTTCCTTACTTTCTCCAAGTGCTTCTGTTGCTGCGTTAATTATGTTATTTTTGAGTTTTTTGCCGTTTTCCTCGATGATATCGTTTTGTAATATTTCATTCCTCAGCAATATTCTCTGATTGTATCTCTTCTGAAAGAGAAAAATATTTTTGCTTTTAACAAATAATCAGTTAAGTGATATATTCAACCATTTTTAATGAAAATTCAATGGAAATTTATGGAAATTCAATTCAACTCTATGGTTATAAAAAATGATCAGGTATTTGAGCCGCTCCTCTCTATATTCTTACGTATTGTGTTTTTAGTTTTGCATCTCTTGCCGCTCCTCTCTATATTCTTAGGGTGCCTGTCCGTTCCGAACGTTGGCGATAATTCTGGATACGATGACTTTGTTGGTTGCTATACGGAATAGCTGTGTTGAGG